CTCTGTCACCCTCACAGGAAAGAAGTTTCTCCTCATATTGAGGTAGAACTTCTTATGTTCTAACTTAAACCCATTATTTCTTGTTCTGTTGCTGGGCACCACTGAGAGGAGATTGTCTCCTGCCTCTTGACACCCACCCCTCAGATATTTCTATATGTTAATAAGGTCCCCTCTCAGCCGTCTCCTTTCAAGGCTGAACAGCCCCAGTTCTCTCAGTCTCTCTTCATAGGATAGATTGTTCAAGTCCCTTAATCATCCTCGTAGCTCTCTGCTGGACTCTTTCCAGTAGGTCCCCGTCTCTCTTGAATTGGGGAGCCCAAAACTGGACACAGTATTCTGGGTGTGGTCTTGCCAGGGCAGAGTAGAGGGGAAAGAGAACTTTCCTTGCCCTGCTGGACACACCTTTCTTAATGCACCCCAGGATCCCATTGGCCCTCTTGGCCACAAGGGCACATTGCTGTCCATGGACAACTCACTGTCCTCTAGGACTTCAAGATCTTTCTCCATGGGGCTGCTTTCCAGCAGGACATCCCCTAACCTGTACTGGTGCCTGGTGTTATTTCTCCCCAGATGCAGGACTCTACACTTGCCCTTCATGAGGTTCACCTTTGCCCAACTCTCCAGCCTGTCCAGGTCTCACTGAATGGCAGCACAGCCTTCTAGGGTCTCAGCCACCCCTCCCAGTTTTGTTTCATCAGTGAACTTGCTGACAGGGCACTTTATTCCCTCATCCAGGTCATTGATGAATATATTGAATAGTACTGGTCCCAGTACCGACCCCTGAGGGATTCCACTAGATTCCACAGATCTGCAGCTAGACTCTGTCCCATTGACAGGGACAGCAGGAGGGATGAGCTGACACTGCTGCTGGTCCTTGAGGTGGGACATTCTCCATTACAAAGCTCATTGAGATCCAGACACCAGCCCCTGCAGCAAGAGGTGCAGCATGTATGTGCCCTGGAGAAACCTTTCAGACAACCCATTTTCACAGTGGAAGGTCAATTCTGTGCAACACATCAGGTTTCTGCTGCTCCTCCTCCGGCCAAAGCATCTTGGGGATATTGTTTGTCAGGCTCAGACCCAACACCAAGATGCACCAGGTGCTGGGCAGGGCTTGGGGACGGTCAGACTTTAGTGGCACTTTGAAGACAAGAGATGTGAAGCTGGAAACGCAGGGTAGAAACATGGCCTCACACAGGCAGAGCGAGCCCGGGGCTGCCCGCCTGCCCCGAGCCATAACCCAAGCCTCTGCTCCCTGCCTGTGGCAGATGAAGATCCTTCCTGCTTATGCGTACCCGCGAGCCTGTGTCCCCACCTTCCCTGGGACACCCCGGCCATAGTGCTCCTCTGTGGCCTCCACAGCTCAGTCTGGAGGTGGGGTGAGATGGGGCAAGGGCAGTCCCATCCTGCGGCCCCTGGCACCACGGCCAGCTCAGGGTGGGCTGGTGAGCACCCAGCGGTTCCAAACACCCAGCACCACTCACCACCTGCCCCAGTCACTGACAAGTGTTTCACACCATCCCACCCGCAGCCTTGCTGCGTCAACAGCTCCTAAGCCTGGGATTTATGGCCGTCGGGCGACGGGCTGAGGCGAAAGCAGCGTTACAGGTGCTCGCCCACCCCTCCCCGCCAGCAAAGGGGCTGATATGCCGTGTCGGGCACAGCTCCTGTGGAGGAAATCATGACATACAAGATGGCCAGTTCTCCCCGTAAGAGAATTGTGTTTAAAAGGAAAATCTACCCCTAGGTGGAAAATGCCATCCTTAGAGCAGCACAGCCTGGCTGACAGAACACTTGTGTTGCAGTGACTGGTCTCAGGTTGCTGCCTTGCCAGGGGCTGGCCCCAGTCCCTTTGCTGTGCCTCAGTTTCCCCACACGAACAGATCCCATAATCCCTCTGTAACGTGCTGCTTCTTCAGCAGACAAAAGCAGCAGCTTAAACCCCTCAACCTGCTTGCCCAGATAAAGCTGCTCCCAGTGAGATACTAAAAGGTGAGGTTAAATCCCCTGGCAGTGGGGTGCAAAGAAAACCCATTGTGGGCTCTGCCCCACATCTCCCATGCCCCAGAGCTGAAAAAAAAGCTGTGAAGCACATCCTTGTTTCATGAGTCCCAAAGGCAGTGGGCAGCTGCAACCCATTTCACTCAGTGCCAGCCCTGCATCCCAAGCCCAGTGCGAAACGCTGTAGGTCCGAGGGTCTCCCAGCTCAGCTCCTCTGCAGTCCCACACAAAAGCCCAGCTCAGCACCTCACTCACCCAACACCAGAGTGAAAAAGATGCATTTACCTCCCTGTGCTAAAGGCCCGGGGCACATATTCCCTGTGGAGGAAAGGCGAAGAACGGATACCCCACACTCAGCAACCAGCAGCATTTCAGAACAGCCCTTGAAATCCAGGAGAGCTTGGTAGTGGAGGCAATAAGAGCCGAGAGCCCGTAATTAACCAGCTTGCATTTGTGCAGCAGGAGAGGGCTTGCCCATAACGCTGCTCTGTGGCACAGCCCTGTGCCAGGCTGCTGCCTGCTCCCCCCAAGCTTGTGGCATTGCTCCATGTCTCAGGGGGAAACTTTCAGCGCACTTTTTTTACACAGCAGGCAGTGGGGGATCGCACGCCACAGGAGCCCAGGGACAGTTGAAAAGCACAAGCAAAAGCTCTTGGCTCAACATCATGGCAAGAGACCATCTCCCATCGCGAACACCCTTTGCAGGGACCCAAGCATACCCACACTCTCTGTGGTGGGACGGCGTGGCGCTCCCGTGCTCGGCCACACTGCTTAGATTTCAGCAATAAAAATAACTACTGCCCTTTGCAACATGAGGGCTTGTTTAGCTGCCTCAAACAGTGGTTGAGATTGGTTTCAGTGATTGAGATTAATTGCTTTCAAGCAGGCCTGGGCAGCCAGAAAGAACCAAAGGCTTGGGGGCAGTGAGGAAAGGCTCGCTCATCTGAAAGGCAGAGGAGCATGAGAGCATCCACTCACCACCCCAGCTCCTCAGGCAGCTTCACTGGAGATGTCTGTGTAAAGTCCAACCCACACACGTTGCCCAGTCTTGCAGTGCTCTCCTCAAACTGCCCTGGCAGCATGAAGGAATTTCCCTCTTCCCCAACAATTTGGGGTTGGGACCAGCTTAACTTTGAGGGGTAATGGATGAGCCTGAGGATGCAGGTCCCTGCCTGGCAAGCACAGCCCTGGCACAGGGGCTGCCTCTGCTCAGCTACTACATCCCCGCAGCACAGCACCCCAGGCTGGAGCACGCCTGGCCAGGGGCTCTGCAGAAGAGCCACAATCACCTGCACTTACATTCTCTGGCTAGGTTTTAACATGCCCAGGTAGGGAGCTCAGTTTCTAAGCCAGGGCACATACAGTGCCTGCTCTGCTCCTATGGACAGCAGCAAATACCCCTTATACATTTTTCCAGCCTCTCAGGCATTCAGCGCCAGGGGAAAGGGGGCTGTGTTTCGCAGGTTTAGGCATTTGGCACTTTCAAAACAAGGTTTCATCAGCTCCAGGGAGCAGACAGGCCAGAGGCAGGACTGGCAGCAACCAGGGCATCCCCTCTGGTTACTGGGGTCTCAGGGGAGATCAGCTGGGTGAGTCCTTCAGTCCCCATCCCAGCGCATACCACTGGCCGCCACTGGGGAGCAAACGCTGTGCAGCTTCCTCTGCAGCCTGCACTGTGTTTACGTGCCAGAGGCAGGTAAGAAGGTGTGCAGGAGGGAGGTGGTTCATCTTCCTCCTTCTCTACAATCACTGCAGAGACCCCCACCCTCCTCATGCTGCAGCTGCTGAAAGAACTATGAGACAGGTCAAGTTGGTTTCAAATTTTATTTCTTTGTACT